TCATCTTAGCTACTGGTGCAAAGGTTTCCAGATAATCAACACCATAGGTCTGAGTATACCCTTTTGCTACTAACCTTGCCTTGTACCTCTCTATTTGGCCATCGGCCTTATACTTCACTGTGAATACCCATTGACATCCGACTATCTCCTTGTCTGGGGGGAGATCAACTATTTTCCAAGTTTGGTTTTTGACCAAAGCATCCATCTCATCTTGCATGGCTGTTTTCCACTCAGGTTTGAAGAGAGCCTCAGTAACATTCCTGGGTATAGACATAGAATCCAGGGAAGAAAGAAAAGCACGGTAGGAGGGTGATAAGGCATTGTAGGAAAGATGGTGTGAAATGCAGTGGGCTGTACATTTTCTCTTCCCCTTACGAAGTGCAATGGGAAGATCAAGGTCAGTGGGATCAGCTGCAACAATGGTGTTAGGGGCAAAAACATTATCATTAGAAAACATAACAGGCTCAATCTTAAGAGGAATACCTGGAACTGTATTTGCCGAATCTGGAGTTTCAGAAGGACTGACAGAGAGTGGTGTGGGTCAAGGATGTGTGGAGTCAACCATCATCTGCCGGCGCTGATATTGCTATGAGGCTGCCCGTAGTGGCTCAGGTAATGAAACTGGAGGTGCAGGTGCTGGCTGAACTGATGGTGCAAGTGGTGGCTGAACTGATGTAGATGCTGGCTGAACTGATGGAGGCACCACAGAAACAGGAAGATGAACAAATTGTGAGTTCTCCCCAAAACTCTCCCCCTGAGGAGAACTACTCGAGAAGAAGAATGTGGATTCGAAAAAAGTAACATCCATAGTGACAAATCTGCTCATCGACATTGGGTCATAACAGCAATACCCCTTTTGGTTCTGAGCATACCCAAGAAAAACACATTTCTTGGCCTTAGGATCCAATTTCTTGCGATGAGGGCCAAGAATGTGAATAAAAGAAACACAACCAAAAACCCTCAGAGGTATATGAAATATCTCTCCTTCTGGAAAAAGAAGGCTAAATGGCACCTTAAACCCCAAAGTCCATGAAGGAACACGGTTAATCAACGGCTGTAAGAACCACATCTCCCCAGAACTGCACAGGAACTGAAGCACACACTATGAGACTCCTTGCCACCTCCACAATGTGTCTGTTTTTCCTCTCAGCAACTCCATTCTGTTGTGGTGTATATGCACAACTGCTCTGATGAACTACACCATGTTCTAAGAGATACGTGGTTAGGTCCTTCTCAAAGTACTCTCTGGCATTATTTGATCTAAAAGCCTTAGTTCTCACTCCAAATTGTGTGAGAACCATCTGGTGGAATTGTCGTACTAAGTTAGGAACCTCATCACGTGATCTCATCAAATATATCCAAGAATATCGTGTATAATCATCCACAAACAAGAGAAAGTAACGGAATCCTCCCATGGAAGGGATTTGATATGACCCCCATAC